ACATAATAAATAGCACATTTTATCTCTGAAGCAGACGACTTCTCAAAAATTGTAGACCAGTGTAATTGGTCATGAACCAAGAGTTATCGCTTCCAACCACTTCTAGTTCTCACCACATGAAGCTTCCTGTGAGGCTCCTCTGGTTGTCACATGTGCTTATTCTTATAGTCATAGAAAACAAAATCCTTTTGAAAAAAGATCTTAGCAAAAGCAGCCTCATTTATAATACAGACCTCCAAAGTGCCTGTCTAGGGCTCTAGCAGCCTTCTCCAAAGGGTTAAAAATACAAATAAAAAATAAATTCAGCAGCTGTTCCTCAGCTTGAAACCAAAATGCTTTAATCAAGCCCAGCCAGCATCCCCTTCCCCACCTACTCCAGCCATTACCGTGCCATGCCGTTCCCTCCCCAGCAGCCTGTGTAAATAGGTGGGCTGTGGCAGCCTACCCTGAAGGTCAACAAATTCAAACCATTTAGGACCAGAATGGGGGAGGTTCAGAGTTGAGGACCCCTCTCTTCTGTAGCAAGAGGGCACCAGGATGAGGTACCTCCCCGACCACAATTATTGCAGTGTAGCATAGGGAAAGATATGGGCAGATCTAAAGCCATTTTGGGCTTGAAAAGTTCAAAACAACACTAAGTTCCACTCAGAAACCAATATGCAGTCACTGTAGATCCCAGTGCATTGGTATCAAGTACTGCCAGTGAAAGTAACCACTTAATGAGCTAGCTGATACATTTTGCATTAGCTTCAGTTTCAGGGCTGACCATATAGAGTGCATTGCGCTTGTCTAGCAAAGACCACATCTGAAAAACAGGTGGAATCTCCTAGCCATATGAAGATGGAAAAAAGCTTTATTGGAAACTAATGCATTGTGATAATAGCAGCTGGGGATCCAGTGGGCCTATAAGAATGGTTTTGTCCAATGTAAATTGACAGAATACCTTTTAAGAATTCCGATCTATATCAAGAATAGCTTCTCCTGAGTGCTAGCCACTCCATCACACCCAGCAATATTGCCCAGTTGGTTTGTGCTTTTTGTGTGCATTCAGATGTTTTGTACTAAATCTCAAGTATTACATCATTTGTCTGGAAAGCAGCCTCAGACAGTTGTGTTCTTCTGAGATGGTAACATTTATGGGTCATGTTGACATTGAAAGCAACTTGTTGAGCAGTTGATTAAAAAATGAGTCAGACTTAGTTTTCCAACTGGCTGCAATGAATTATGTCTCAGTGGGTGGAAAGCAGAACAATGAGACCACTGTGACTTCAACAACTACTAGATCAATCACAGACTGGTTTTTTTGCTCTGCTCTTACAGAATACATCTCTGCAATGATGTCCAATTTTCTTGTTTAATTTTTTGTATTTGCACACATGCAGTTATAAATCTGCTCTGTAGCCTCTGTATGTCTCATACATACATGCTATATTTTTTGTATTTTTTTAAATTCTGATGGTCTTAAACACTAATTATATTCTTCATCAGTAAACTAATAGTGTGGCCCTGATTTTCAGAGAAGCTAAACAGCTCTAGGTCCCATTGACTTCAGGTGGCGTTGTGGGTGTCTAGCACTGGTGAAAGTTCTGCCCCTAATTTCTGTTATACAAGCACTTCATGCTCTTCCCAGTTCTCTTCATTTACCCATCCCATCCTGGTTCAGTGGTAATGTGAAGGCAGCAACTAGGAATAAAGACAATATATGACAAATGGGAAAGAGAGAGCAGTCAGGATAAGTTAGAAGAAAATTGATATGGAAAGCTAAACACAGAAAAATCCATGGCTGTAAGGACAATAATCATGAGTAAAGGAAATCTTAACAATAGTATAGCCCATTACTAGGTGAAGATGCTAAAATTGTTAATGCAGCAAAAGCACAAGTGTTCAATAAATATTTCTGTTCTGTATTTGGAAAGCAGTAGGATAATGTACTCGTATCATGGATGATGAAATACTTTCTAAACTATTAGTAACTAAGGAGCATGTTAGACGACAACTACCCCTCTACCGCGATATAACACGACCCGATATAATACGAATTTGGATATAATGCGGTAAAGCAGCACTCCCGGGGGGGGGGGGGGGGGCGGCGG